CTCGGCGCGGCACGGGCGGCGGGGACAGGGCGGCGCCTCGAACTGCCCTGACAGGCGCTGACGAGTTTCACCTCGCACCTGGGGCCGGCAGAGCGCCAGTACGCCATCTCCCGCGTGGGGTGACGCCGAGAGACCCACTCGCGCTGCCTGCGCGACTGCAGGAAGCCATGCAAATTGTTTCAAGAACTTCACGCGGAGTGAAAGTGCTTTGAGTTCTGGCGGCTTGGAAGAGACGTTGGAGACGTGAACCCCCCCTCTCCTCCTGCTCCAGGCGTTGTGTGGAGCGTCAGGCTCCCCTCTGCTCCCCCACCCCAACGCCTCCAGCCAACAGATGGGTTCCTTGCATCCCCACCACCACCACCCTTGTTCTCTTCTTCAGTCCCCGTGACCCGCTCGTCCTTATTGACTGCAGCCAACCTGCAACGAAGCGGTTGTGGAGGCGTGAACCAAATGTTACCACAAGAGCGTGCACATACTGACCAGAAAAATGGATGTGTGTGCAATCAACAAAGGGGAGCGCTGCCGGAAGGTGCACGCTGTCCTCCTCAGCAGCAGACAGTCTGGACCGCAAACAGAAAGTACTAACGCGTTTCTGTCTCTCATTCTTCAGGCCAGCATGCCGTGAAGAATATTTGCCAAGATAAAAATAACTTCAAAGAGATGCAAGAAGATTAATCTGCTGCTTTGTATTCATTCCATGCCTTCAGGAGTCAGAAAACCTGGAAGCTGAGTTCAGACACAAGTTTAGATATCTAGTTCTTAGTTCACATTTTGCCCAGCAGACTTCTAATACCTAGGAATAGATATGTTTTATTTTGGTGCAGGCCTCACTCCTGAAGAAATAAAGATGTTTTTCCTTTTTGTCTAGATACTGCTTTTTATTTGTCAGCTTATTCTTTCTAATCCAAGTCTGCATACCACATGGATTTCCAGAAAGACAGGAATTTTCTTTGCTTCTCATAATTTTCTTTAGCTTCCATCCTGAATTCATTCTCACTGTTAGTTTAGAATGTATAAGCAGTTTTACAAATCATTACCGTGCAGACTACTTCATAGCAGTAGTGATATTACTTTAAAAAAAAAAAAATTAATTCTGAATTCTCGTGCTGGTGCAAACAGGTCAAAGGACTGGTTATATCAGTGCCTGTAGACCTAAAATAAATACAACTAAGTACTTTAGAAGAACAGAAGAGTAGAATGAGCATACGATTGAAAAAGTAAAATCCAGAAACTAACTTTTTCACCACACAACAAAAAAACCCCAAGTCTAGCAACAAGGAATGTTAGAAGCTATCATTTCTTATTTTTGCTGTCTGGATTTTGAGGGCAGAGAATAATGATTGCCTCTTTCTACAAAGGTTGTCTAGGGCAAAGGTTTTCAAAAGTTCTTTGAACTCGCCTACAAGAAAGATGTTGCGTTGCTGGAGCATGTCCAGGGAAGGGCAACAAAGCTGGCGAGTGGTCTGGAGCACAAGTCTTACGAGGAGCAGCTGAGGGAACTGGAGTTGTTTAGTCTGGAGAAGAGGAGGCTGAGGGGAGACCTTATCGCCCGCTACAACTACAACTACTACCTGAAAGGAGGCTGTAGCAAGGTGGGGGTTGGCCTCTTCTCCCTGGTAACGGATGATAGGACGAGGGGCAATGGTCTGAAGTTGCACCAGGGCAGGTTTAGGTTAGACATTAGGAAAAATTTCTTCACAGAAAGGGTGGTCAGGCACTGGAACGGGCTGCCCAGGGAGGTGGTTGAGTCCTCATCCCTGGAGGTATTTAAAAGACAGCAGACAAGGTGCCTAGGGACATGGTTTAGTGGTGGGATTGCAGGGTTAGGTTAATGGTTGGACTTGGTGATCTTAAAGGTCTTTTCCAACCTAAACAATTCTATGATTCTAAGTCTGCAGCAGGCAGAATCACGTGAATAACCACCTGAAGCAGACGCACCTAGTCTTCCCATCCCTGATGGCCATGCAGCTCAAGCTGTGTTTCACAAACCTGCTGCAAATCTTCAGGTGGTCATGTGCAATTCACAGACCATAATCAGCTCAAGATGAAATACCCCAGTAGGAATGACAGCTGCTGTTTTTTTTAAACCTGCTTTCATCTTTGAAAGACGCTATTAAATAATCCCAGATAGATTGCACTGCAGATATCTGAAAACAAAATGCCAGAATTGTGGATTATCATATCGGCATCTGTACCAAATAAAGAAATTGAAACATGCAAGTCAGAGGCACGCAGGAAACTGCTGATAGCCAGCACTTCCAGAGTGGCTAGGGAGCAAAGGCATACCATGCAAGGTAGATACGTACTTTCGATCTGGATGATAAATAAATTGTACATCACATCTCCAGATGACTGCCCAGAGCTTTTAAATTCCTTCTCCCTTTATCAGGATGGGGGGGTCAGTGAGCACATGGGATGAAATTTTGTAATGATACAATTCAAATCAAAATGGCTTCAGATGCAAAACTGCTGATAGTAGCCTTGGCAGTTCACATTGACAACCAGTCAGGAAATGTTAGTCCAGGCTCTGATAACCTAGTGCTAAAGATAAAACCTTCCAACATGATCAAATGCCTTTTCTGATATCACCTGAAAAAAAAAAAGAAAAAAAAAGTCACTTGACATGGGAAAGTCTCTACGTAGGCTACATTTTTAAAGAACTTGCTCCTTACCAAGGCGTAAATAATATTGATTTTCCCGAGCAAGCACAGTAAGTCTGTGTCTTACTGGGAAATAAAGAAAATTGCTGGATTTCAACAGTAGTCTCTTACCTAATGCTTATTTCAAGAATCCAGTTAGGTCCTGTAACACGTGAGCAGGTGGGATATTCCTGGATATTCCTCACCGAGAAAATTCTTTACCATTTTAATAGAATATTCCTGTTGCAGGTGGAATATGAAAGAGACAAGTTCAGGAGATACAAACATGGATGACTAATTTACCAAAAAGTCTTTGCAAGGATGCCATAAGAAGACTGGCTATTGAGTTTACAATAGTGATGATCGTTGCGGAAGAGGAAACCGCAACACCAAATACTCTTTTAACAGGAGGTTAAGCAGAGGAAGACTAGTTTAGTTACTATGGTAATAACAGGTGATACCAGCTGGGCAGCTCAAGACCAGCCTTGGGTGATGAGGGCATAATGCCACAGGGAATGGGCAGGACAAGCAGCAGAGTAGAAGCAGCCATTGCTGGACTCTGTCAGGTGCAGTAGTCAAGTATGATTATGATTTATTCATATTACTAGCAGGCTCAGCCGTAGGCCAAGGTCCTGCTGTGCTCCATGCTGTACAGACACAGGACAAAATGACAGATCCCTTAGAGAGATTTCTTTTTGATTTGCAATAGCAAATAAGTCAGCCAGTGCTGTAAATAACAGAAGAAATATAACAGCTCTAGGAGGGTTCCCAAGCATGCTGCAGGTCTAAAAAGCAGTAATTACACAGGGGACATTGAACAGTAGAACCTCATTAGTTGCACAGAACTAATCCACACAACCTGTAATTTGCACGCAAAAGAAAGTGGTAGCCATTCTCTGTTTCTCAACAGGGGGTTAACAGCTAAGATAAAGCTGTACTGAAACTTGATGCCACTCTTGTTTCCTTACTTTATATCATATGCAGTAAATATAGATAATTTATACTTAGAAGAACCTGAGAATTGCAATGAACAATACATAGCGTTAGTATAACTTTTTTTTTAATTACACATGTTCAAATACTCACTGATTCTCCATGTTCAGCTGTTCTCAAAGAGCTCCTCAGTCATTAGTGTGAAAGAGACTATTTCTATACAAAGGGCTGTTAAATTATTTTTTTTTTATAATGTCACCATCTCTTGCTACACATCCCACCACCTAGCAACCCAGCATTTGGCCAGAAAAATAAGTATTTTTCATTTATACTGTTTCTTTTAGCTGCTTCAAATACCTTTTAGTGACTGGGGGGAAAAACACATAAGTGTCACAGTAATGTGACAAACATATAAGACTGATTCAGGAAATAGAGCTCTAGCTTCTTTTGAAGCAAGCATCACTTCCCAAACTGTAGATCTAACAGAACAGGGTTTCCATTGCTCTTCACTTTTCCATCTTCTTTATTTCAATCTCATACTCTTCAGAGGAAGAGCTTTCTCCTGCTACTTAGTCCGTAGCTCAACAGAGCCCTAAATCCAGCTTTCTCCTCCATGTACGATACTGGAGTAATGTACAATATTGGGCACAGTGCTATTTTAAACATCTTAATATTTTAAAATAATAGAATACAGTAAAAATTGCCCCTTTTCTATCAGAACTATCACTCATTTACCAAGCTCCACATGCACATCATTGTTAGCTACTCCTCTCACCAGTAGTACTACACAAGTGAACTCTTTTGTGAATACCACAGATTCCAGCACTACAAGTTAGAATATACATGGTAATTAGGATATACTTGCCAGCCCCCTCCCCTCAACATTGTGAAACGTTAATGGTAAAGTGAAGAAAGTAAGATGA